ACAAAAACAACATCATCAACAACAACAACAACAACAACAACAACAACAACAACAACAAGAATAACACCAGCAGCAGCAACAACAACAGCAACAACAAACAAACAGCAACAACAACAACAGCAACAACAACAACAACAACAACTATTTATCGTTTCTGATGCACTTACCATCTTTAGACATTCCGACAGAAACACATTTATTGTAGCGACAGAAAGGACACAGTTTCCGGCTGGGGCCTGTAACGTCACAACGCCCTTTGGCGATGCACTTGAAGGTGGGGTGGACTTTCATAGCACGCCGGAAAAAACCCTGCAAGGGAAACGTGTAAAATAATGTTTAAGTTTTAGGTTTGCTTTACTCTCTTTTTAATGATTAACTTAGATATAGAATTATAAATGTTTACCCATCCCAACAACCTGCCCTTCATCCAGCCCCAGTAGGTTCTGGGGTAATGAAATAAGTTTTTAAATGTTGGTTTATGTTTAATATTTATCAGCAGTTTATTCATGTGTCTGCATAGCCCTGTGTAACACACGTCGGATTGAGCCGGCTGCAGGCAAATCTTCTGGTCGAGGGGGAGCTACCGACACATCATCATCATTATCAAGAGCCAGATCTGCGACAGACATTGGCCATCAGGGTTCTCCATTTATTCCTTCGATCGGATGCTCTAAAAAAAAAAGCTACATTATCCTGATCTCTTACCGTTACCTATCTGTTTAGGCTCTCTAAGTAGATTAATCTGAGTCTACCCCTGCCTCATTTGCCCTCAGTTTTGCCAGTGAGGGTTAGATGTCCTTTGCCCTTATGTCTATTCAAGTGACCCAGAAACAGCATCAATCTTTTCCAGACTGGTGTTCTCAACAAGCAGCCCATGTGGGCTTCTTTAAGCACCACCTCGTTTGATTTCTTTTCTTTCCAAGATATTCTCAGAAGTAACCTAGGAAACCACATTTCTGTTGCTTGGTTGTTGTTGTTTTCCCCCTGTCTTTAGTGATTGCCCCCCATTTACAGCCCTATAGAAAGCTTGACCACACATAGCATTTCGCAACTTCCATCCACACAATCTGGATAATTTCAGAAGGTGGGCTGCGTTACCATTGCCTGTGAGGACCGACCATGACTGAGTGATTAACAGCACCCCAGCAGAAAGACTAATGATACATTTCATTTTTCTAGTACATTTCCACAAAGAAAGTGCTAAAGTACGCTTTACAATAATACATGAACACCATATTTTCCAATGGCGATTCTTTTTTCAGCAACTCTCTGTCTCTCTCTCGCTCTCTCACTCTCTCTCTCCCTCTCTCTCTCTCTCTCTCTC